ATACTCTCTGGTTGATAACACATGATGGGTAGTGTTTGCCTGCCATTGTAGGCTGCTAAGGAGATTCATGAGACTGAATCTRCTGATTGATATAATCAAGCAATATTGAACCACCAAAGCAATAAAAGTCAAAGAAATGCAAGTTTACACAGTTCTAATAGTAAATTAACTGATCTTCTGTTCCAGGGTGCTTGGGACGCTGTCCAACCTGAAGGAGTTTGCAGCGGCATTCAATTGTCCACTTGGAAGTAAGATGAACCCTTCTAATAAGTGTGTTATCTGGTAATGATACGCACAGGGCGATAACGCTTCTCGACTGGTGTATGCATATTGCATGTTGACTGCATGCGAAAGCACTCTATGAAATTCCAGAAAGAAAGATTTGTACCAGCATGCTATAGGGACCTTGGTTCATTGTAATGTCTATAGAGAATGAGGGAAAGCGTACTTTATTATATAATTACCAATGAAATATATATTTTTCTATTTCGAAAAATTGATATCTTCAACACCATTGCGATGGCTATTCAAAAATACACAAAAAGAATTGCCTGAAAAAGCCAAAATATACTTCATTGATAATTATATAATAAACAGAATATTACATGGCCACTCGGATATAAGAATTTTATCTTCTGGTGTTGAAAATCTCTGCGAGCCCATGTAATATCCTCTATATATTTAATGGACTTCAAGTTCATAGAGATTTATCCTATTCTCTGTTTTCCCATTTCTTTCCCTTGAGTATTAATTTTTTGTTCACCAGCAAACAGTGATTAAGCCTACTGATACTAAAAGATCACCCGAAAATCTAAACCCCCCACTTCCCCCACCCCCCAAGGGATGTAATGAACGTCAGCCTCTTGTCGCAGGAATGTAAATTCCTAATTAAATATTTAACTAATTTAAAACTAAGATTGAAAATCGTCATTATTTTAAAAGTAAGAAAAGTCGAAACGTTTTTGTTACTGTAGTTTTTTTGCGTGTAAGGTATTTTAACTTTCAAAATTTAAATTTTGGTTTTGGTTGACCACTGGTCTCCCCAGTGCTGTATTGCAGATGTCTTGGGGTCATCATGCAATGCTTCTCTAACAGGGTGTGGATATATCACCTTGAAAGCAATTCTGCCATGAAAACAGTTTTAATTATATATATTCACCTTGCTATACACGCTCTGATTGGTCAAAACTGGTCAGAACTGTGCCAATACCATGTATATGTAAAGCCTGCTTTGCAAAGAAGTGTGCCATGTAAGAAAATAACGATTTAGTTGACGTCACCTAAAATAGTAAAATATATGCRCCAAGGTAACTGTCATGTGAATCCAAGGTTTASTTTACCAAAGAWTGTGTGAAGAGACARTCGATTRCATCTTCGTTTTCTCCCCCAATTTTCTGACCATTGGCAGATGAATTTTCAATGCATGTGACGTCAACTGAAATAGTAAATAACTTATCTAATTTAAGTGACCATTCAACGGTTTGACTAAATTCATTCTACTAAGCCTTTTAGGTAATAACTTATTCATTAAGCTAAATGTGATTATATATTTATATCTTAGATAACTCCATATATGAAAGGGTGATAATCCCCCTCCTCTCCCCCGTCAGTCTGTGGACATATGCTACACAAGCATGGTTTGCTTTGATTATGTGTGGCTTTGCATTAATTTGATAAGTTTAGCTTTTGATAATAGATTTAAATGAATACAAACGCTACTAAATTACGTTTCAACATTGCCCGATGTTTGKTGATAATCCTTTTGTATATAATCACTGTAGCATGTATTGATCCTAAAATACTTCTCTCTTGAATATTAATTTACTTAATAATGACATCGGACGATGTCGAAATGTCGTAATTTAGTAGCGTTTGTATTTATTTTAAATTTGCATTAATTAAAGCATAATTTAAAAAAGTATTAACGGATTATTACTATATAGAAAAATGTATATAACACAGGGGTAACGGTTGTAAAAAAAAAGATTTATTCAGCAGGTCTTAACATAATAAAGTATTATACATCGTAACTTTAAAACTGCAACATTCAGTTTATAAGTGTATTAATTGTGTCAGTTGTACATCGATATTCCAATGACTTTCCTTACTCATTGCTATTCTTTTTTCGATAAAATTATCAATTTATTTTCTCCTTCGAGCCCTCCTTATCCATGTCCTCCATTGACCTAATTCCCTCGTAGTTCTGAGTCCCAAATAAGCCGTAGCAAGAACACAAGCAGAACCAGCGCCATAACCAACCATCGTCCATACTCGAACTAAGTCGTCGATCTTGTCAACATCTGGCCATAAATCTACGTCAGCTACGTTCTTAACTGATGAGACTGCTCCTCCAACGCCGTAGAGATAATTCATTAGGATTCTGGAGCTTTTAGTCCCTTCTTCTCTGATAATGTTTCGTAGGAAGCCTTTATCATCGTCGTCGTCTTTGTCCGCCATCTTGAATTCGCTGAAATTGAGACACAGGAAACCCAATATGGGAGTGTCCAAATTTGTAGTTCCATAAGTGGAAGGGAAAAAGATTGGAAGTGAGGAAGGATGAAATAGAAGAAGAAAAGAAGGGAGGGATGTGACAAAGACACGTATGACAAGCCGAATGCATCTTAAAGTATGATGGACAACCAATATCAAATAGTACAAAAATCCATGTTATAATATTCCTCCATTCTACTCATTAAAAGAATATTATCAATAATTGAACTTAYTGTTATAAATAATCAGATTAATGATTGAGTGATGGATTATTGCTAAATCAAATCGAAATTTCCACTACGTTTCCTGATAATTTTACTATAAAATGCTAATAAACTTTTAAAGCTTATTATAATATGATTATTCAAACTCGAAAAAATRAATTTGAGAAATAAAATCTTCCAGTCTAAACACATACTTGATTGACGATGATATTTTCGAAAAAGTGAGGGTAATCCACAAGCCTGGGAGTGGATGAACAAACAATGAATGGTGAGATAAAACAAAGAACGCAGCTCACATGTGGAACAATACACATTGTTCACCATAACCCATGCTTTCTTTGTTTTTGTTATTTTGTCCAATCTCAAGCTTCGTTCTACCAGTGGACACCGACCCAATAGTGAAAGGAAAGAAATTGAACATATATCTGACTGACAGCCATGATCTTATCTGCAACATAGTACTACTCTTCCCAGCAGACCGAGACAGTTGTAATTTTCTAATCACTTTTGTACCGTCTGTTATGTTAATGGCAAGTACATTAAAAATCTTCCATGTGATGCCAATGTCGTACCACATGGACAAGTTTTTACACCACATGATTGAAGTGCTGTCACGTTTTTAGCCTGAGGTGTAAAAAACTTGTCCATGTGGTACAATATTGGCATCACATGGTCGATTTGAAATATGCACTTGCGGCTAACATAACAGATGCCACAAAAATAAAGTGATTAAGAAATCACAACTGCCTCAGTCTACTGGGAAGAGTAAAAAGTACCATTACTTATTTTGTGATTTACTGTGGTTTTCRATATTCTGCCAACTCGGTAGTTACAAACTACACGCTGAAATTTGGTTTTTGCTGCCGTCAATGAAAAATAATCAGTCRGTACCTTTTATGTTCTTGACTGGCAGCAGTGAAAAACCAAATTTCACAACTRCAGTAAGGTTGTCTAAATTATTGAGAGAGTTTCGAAGTTGATCAAAATCTGCTTTTTGCTGTAATGGACCTTAATTAYCACACGGCAGCCATGTTGACTGGAACAACAGATGAATCCTCTGCATAGCCTTGCATCCAAGTGCTTCAGGATGAGGCACGTGAGATAGCTAAACAAAGGTTTTTAATCTCATGGTAAATGAATATAGCACCGTGTAAAGGTCTATTGAGATTTTATCTGTTTTGGCAGAAACTGAACACTCTCCAACTACGACTTACTTTGTGACATTACTAACTCTTGACTATTTTAGAGCAGGAAAGCTATTGTAGACATTTGAGAGCTTAAGTACTGAATGTTTTTGAACTTGCTAATACTCCTTTTTACAGTTCTATTCAGTGACCATGAATAATAGTTCCTAGCCGAGGCTGGAGTTGCCACGCATAGCAAAACTMCAGACTCCAGCCTCGGCTAGGAACTATTATTCATGGTCACTGAATAGAACTGTAAAAAGGAGTATTGACATACAACAAGTTTTCATCTTCCATGAATACATAATTATTTCCATCGACTATATATTCTACTATAATATTATTTTTCGTGCTAGCAACATCTTTTGCGTGACCCTGAATGTGCACGTTCTCGTTTTAGTTTCATTTTCTTCTTTTTCTTTCCCTTTTGATTTTTTTCTGTTTCCTCAACTGTCGGTGGACAGACTGCAAGTAAGATTTCTTCGGTGAGTGTTAAGAATGCTTTCTCAATGTTTATATTTGACAAGGCGCTGGTTTCCATAAAGGTAATGCTGTGGTATGATGCTAGCTGTTCACCTCGTTCTGTGGAGATAACTCGTTTTTCTGGGGGAACATCACATTTATTTCCAATCAGCATTCTGGAGGAAAAATATAAGACTCAATTAACAAACATTGAAAATAATAAAAAGATAAWATTATGAGGATGATAGTAACTGTATTGATGATTGTGGTCATAATGGTCATATAAAAACAAAGATGAATTTGCTGATATGATACTGATCAATGTATATTAATGACGACACATGATTATGCAATACTAGTTGCTGATGGTGATACAT